TACCTTGTTTTGAACTTAAAATTATCATTTAAAAGTGCAAAATTTAGAAATTTTCTCAACAAATGGTTGTAGAGAGAACATTAATGCACAGTTTGCGTATTTTTTTGGATTTTTTAAGGCTCTGCTGAATTCTGTAGCTGCGCAGTTCTAAGGAGGATATCAAAAGCATTTTTCTGCAAAAGTATATATTATATATGCACAACATGCAATCAGTTATGCATATTTATTGTATCTTTATCATAAAGACTTAAAATTTGATCAAAATATAATGTACTTTAGCCATTTGATGAAATGTTTACATTTTGTTCTCACTGCACTAAAGGTGGCCGTACATCCCCCTTAATCTATGCGAAAAACTTTAATTCTTGATATCTTCGTGATGAATTTGGAACTTAATCAATATTCGTTATAATTAGAAAGGCCTATGTACTACATACACATACAACTCTTTTGCTAAAGAATTACTTAATTGTTACGCAGATATGTTAAGGCAGCACACAGATCGTTTTGTAAATAGCTTCTTTCATCAAACAATGCTTTTCATGTTGCAAAGTTTTTACATCCCCTCCCTCCTCTTCCCAGAGATGATGTATTAGAAAATTTCTGGGCATGATATGTCCCGTGCTAAGGAATTCATTGTCATAAAAAAAAATGTCTGATGAGGGATAAAAAAAGTTCCACGGTAATAAAAACTGATGTTTAGATGTTACGCAGCACGGTTAAGGCCTACTATGAGAAATCGAAGGAAAATAGATGTGCAAAAAAGGGGGATTTTTATAAAACTTAATTTATTTTAATTAAGCTGTTTTATCATCACAGAATTAAAATACTTATGGAAATAGCATAGTATAACCCACTCTGTACTGTATGAAATTTGGTCCCATCGATGGACAGTCACGTGATGTATGCATAGTTCGTGTACTGAATGTACGTAGGTCATGAACAAATTTCAATATCGCAAGGGCATACCCTAGTTGAAATTAAAATTTCAAGCTATTAATTATTTCTCCATACTTTGTAGTTTCTGAAAAATACTGCTGCTTTGAATACAATTCGCGTTTTAATAGTTAAATTTTCAGGTAAATGAGCCAATGTCGAAATATGTTTGACTTTTACCAAATATTTTGTGTACTTACAAAATCACACCCTCGATTTAAAGAAAGCAGCAGCATTTTTCAAGTTAAGATATATATCCTTTATCTTTATTCAAAAAATGGTTAAGATCTATTAGGGTATGCCATTGCCAAAGTACGATTTTATGAGACATCTCGTTGTAAAATATACGAAGCCTGTACATAAAAACACGACATAGTTAACAAAATACATTCTTTAGATAGTTAATGAAAAATCGCTCTAAACAAAGGAAATACATTGGTATTCATCGACTATTTAACACCTGTATTTAATATTCCGTTTAATAATAAAACGCATTTTTCATTGTTAAAAAATTCCTCAATCTGTCTATCACAGCACATGAAATACGTCATTCTTACCAAAATGACGTCATTTTATAAGTTCATCGCAATCAGTGCTTTGTTTATAACCAGCTACATTGGATTTAACTAGCAAGTGTTTTTTAATGGATTGAAAAGTTTTATTGTTGTTCATAATGCTAATACATTTAAAAGTTGCTAATTATTTCATTTTCAGGTATCATGAGAAATACATAAATTAAAGTGATAGTTTTGTGTGACGTCACAGTTACTTTACCCGTATAAATATAGGCCTTTTTTTTCAAGCCTTAACAGTGCTGCGTATTCTGACTTTAGCATTACAGTAAACTAAGGTTCTCAAAATCTTCAAAAATATTCTCAAAACACTTAATTTTTATGTTGAGTTACGCATTTTTTTTCATACATTTTAGAAATGTTTAGAAATATGCGTAAATAAATGTATCGAACTAAATTTGGTAACTTTTAATTATCCTTGCATATACATGTAGCTAGACTACAACAGCATTTGTTATGGAAACAGCAAAAGTACGATATATGTACATATGTTTATATCAGCATTATTCTTTCTTAGATGAATCTATTGAAGAAAACATATGTTCAATTCTGTGTGAACTTCATTGGGGTGTCAGATGTCATAGTGCGACCGATTTGCTAGGCTAGGTGATATATTGTTTATATATATTTCTGTCTGTTTTCGGACTACCAAGGTTAACGCGATGAAAAGGATAAAATAACTGACACATATAGATATTTTTATTCAACAGATGTTTACTAAGATCTTCCTTTGGTGGGAAGAATGTTTTGAATACTATTATTACAGTCTAAAATCGGAAATTCCTTTGAAGTTATGTTAACTAAAACAGGGGATATCACTAATTTTGACTTCAAATACATTAAAAACTCATAAAATAATAAGATTATTTCGTAGGGATCATTGTTTTTTTCAATATAAAATTCTGAAACTGGACTGCTGATCATCATTGTAAATATTCAAATGTTGAAACAAGACGAATCTTTCGGGCTTCACAGGATTTGATCACGTGACCAACTAAACGTTCATTCTCAGACACTTTTTACATTGTTGTTTATTTCTTAAGTAAACATAAAATTAACTCACTTGTGTTCCAAGACTGACATCTTTTCGAGTTAAAAATGAATAAGAACAGGAGAATAACGACTAGAAAGATCGATGATGATACTACTTCAGCAATTATAGATGCGGTCTCTTAATCCCTGGCTGCAAATTAAAAGTACTGTTTGGTGACACCGAAGTAAGATTAGAGCTGTCTGTGGACAGGATATATGCTGAGGAGTCAGTCATGAGATTAAACGTTGTGGAATTTGGTATTGCACGGCTCCTTAAATAATAAAAGATTCATCCAATAATATAAAAATTTGATTCAATCCGTCGTCTAATCTTATGAGAAGATGCATGAGAGTGCACAGATTTACTTACGTTTCATTTAAACAGTTTTCATTTGCCAAATAGCAGCGTTTTTGTGGATTGATTTCCAAGCAGGCTGAATCTGAAACAATAAATACATGCCTATTTTTGATTGTTTTTATTCACAGGCCCTCGTCACACATGTTAAATGTACTATTGCATCCGAAAAAGATTTCGTCTTACATTTGAAAACTTCATTGGTAATGTAAGGTTCCCTCGGACAACCATAAAGGAAAGTGGAGCAGTCGATGGCGTCTAGGTGTCCTGAAGATACAGCATAAGGGCAGATATCTAAAGAGATAGGGAAAATATTCAAAGTTCGTTCTAAAGGTCGATTCACATCTTGAGTCATTCAGTTTTAAATGAGAATATTTTAACTAAGATGTTGCTACATAGGCAATTTACCCACATATGATCCACATATGCATTGCCTTTCATATGAAGATCATGTGTGGAACATATGAGAATCATATGTTTATACAATCATATGAGAATCATATGTGGCCAATCATATGAGAATCATATGATCATGCATATGTTAATCATATGAAGTAATATACATATGATTCTCATATGAAATGTCCTTCATATGAGAATCATATGTATATTTTGGTAGTAGTCCTATGAGAACCATATGAAACTGATCATATGAGAATCATATGAAACCATATTAACTAATTTGCCCTTGTTATATACTCAGGTAAAAATCATTTGAATATTTTGACAGTGATCATATGAGAATCACATGAAACAGTATTAACTTATTTGTCCTTGGTATACTCAAGTTAAATTGCAATTTCAATGATATATCTAAATAGTAATTTAAATGTACATTAATTTCAAAAGAATTTGTTAGCAATAACTCTGTTTTAACACCCCCCCTTTTCCCTTATAAAAAAACTTTCACAGTTTTCTTTTTTCTGTTATAATGCATATCCCAGTCAAAATTGATAAAGAATAAATCAATTTGCTTTTTATTTCAAATATTTTGCGTTTGGGTTTATTACTTGAGTAAAATAAAAAAAAAATCCGTATTTTTCCTGGATCGGTTTGAACTTCTATCGGATGAAAAGTGTACGTCATGTTTGACGTCACTGCTGCAGCAGAAGTGCTGGGTGTTGGAAAAAGTAAGTAATTTCTAAACAATTTCTTAAAGACCTTTAATTCATATTGTTGAAATATCATTTCATTACGGTTACAGGTTCGTATGAACTCATCTCTGTAATACTCTAATCCGAGATTTCTCTGACTCTATCCCCCGCTTTTATATCGATATTGAATCTCGGATAATAATATTCTCAACACTTGTAATTGTTAGATTAATACATTTCGTAAACCTACATAACGTTAGTGATGATCTGTAAGTAATTTTGGATAAATTTGTTTCTGAGTTGATGTAAACATTATAATTCACATGTTAGGCTAAAGGCATTCCTTTGTTTTTCTTTTTGACTTTTGTTACGTACTCAGCTGGTATACTGATTTGAAAGTGAAAGTAGAAACCCTGTATAGCAGTTTGGCGTTTTTATGTCAATCATTATCAAGTCGATTCTTCCATCAACTTAATGACAAATGTTTATTTCTATGGCCTATAGATGCATTCAACAACTTAAGTTCAGTGTCACCGTGCTGCTTTTTTATTAAGTCCAAGAAGCCCAAAGCTGATAAGACTGGCAATTGATCCAAAAGCTGATTGTGACAGACGATTGCATCATCACAATATTTAAGGTAAAAAAAACTTGCAATAAAAAATCAAAGTGTACATCTGTAATGACTCCTTTATGAAAAAATATTTCTTGATGATTTCTTTTTGTTACATTTTTTAATTCCTTTATAATTCTGCATTGTTTGCATGGCGTCATCAAAATTAAATTCAACTCAATAATAAAGAAGTTGTATTCTACATTATGAAACAATTTTAATCCAATGCACTTTTAAAATATGGTAAGTATGAATAGAATATGCTGGCTTTAAAAGCTATGAAACTATATAGGCCACCCCTGAAAACCGTAGGAAATATCCCCTCATACCGGCCGCTTTTTGATAGCAAAGCTGTTACTGTCATTGGCCAGAGGGGTAATAATGACCGGCCGGAGGTGTGAAAAATAGCCTACCCACGATAGGTCAGAGGTGTGAAAAACTGAATATGGCCTCATAGGGTTTTCTATTGTTTAGCCGTCTTGAAGGGGTAGTCATCGTGCCAGACTACGTAAATGGCCGGTCTAAGCTGTGTACATATGATTAACATCAATTAAACTTAAATTAATAAAATATCAATCAACTAATAAATTTAAATCACAGAATGAATCAACGGATTCTCGCACGCCATATTGCATCATCTTTTTAAATACAGAAGCGGTCTTGAATTTGGGAACTGTTAAAAAATGCCGAGAAAATAAAATAAAACATTTAGCAAAATAGACATTTCATTATTAAAATTACTGTTAACAGAAGTTTTGTTCAGAAATGTTTTAACTATTTAATTTTAACTGAAGTAGATACATTTTTTTAATGACGTAAGCGATACACAGATTCTGTATAGAATTCAGTTAAGGCAAAGGGTCCGGTTTATTTCTTCTTATATGGTTAATGAAGTAACTGTCCATGTTTTTTTCTGTTCTCGTTTTTTTTTAATTTCTTTTCATAAAAATCAACATGTATTAATAACATGATGACAGATAAATACAATAGAAACCAATACAGTGTATTAAATATTTTTTCTAGCATCTGTCACATAGTTCTGCATTTCTTCAATATGTTAGATTCTCGAGAAACCGACCACCCCTCTAGTTCGGCCATATTATTCAGCCCGGCAGCTGGCCGGTTTAGAGAAGTTTTTCTGTATAACATTAGTTTTATTTCGTTGTCGTATTATATCTGTGTCGGTAAATTGGGAATACATTTGGTTGCTGATGATAAATTACTTTAATATAACTTGTAGAATTGATTTTGTAATTTAAGAATTATTTTATTTTTGAAATTTTTGTAGAGACCATTCTGTGCCACAAAGAAATTGTTCAGGAAGGGGAGAACTGGTGGATTTGCATATTTGGTACAGTTCAAAGAGATTTTCACAATGGTCAGATCAGAGGGAGGACAACTGAAAATATTGAAAAGATAAAAAAGGAAAAAGAACCTGGAAAATATATGGAATAATTCTGAAATGTGGAAAATGTACACAACCTTGTCTGAATTTGACCTGTAAAGATTTCCCATTCTTATTGTATGCTAGAATATCAAAAAAACCTGATTTTTCATAAATTTACAATAGAGCTCGAGAATACATGACAAATGTTATTGCTGATATTTCAATTTTGCAGTGGACACTTTCATGTCATATGGTAGATCTATACAAGTACATGACCTAATTATTTTATTCATTTGTACATGTATACATGTTTAACTACTTAATCTTTTTGCTGAAATCTTATAATTTGTACTCATTTTAGAATATGTTAAATTCATGTATCGACAAATGCTACTGACTTGTTTGTATATTTTTTTGTTTAGAATGTACACTGTGAAAAATTAGTTATTTCTCTTGATGAAAATAATTTTACCAAAAAAGTTGTGTAAGCATTATAAAATATTTTAAAATATTTAACCAATGAAGATAGATCATTTTACATGTAATGTAATAAATTTTGATCTAAAGCAGAAATATCTGATTTTTAAATGTGTACAAGAATATGAAAAATATTGAAAGAGAACACACATAACTGTTTCATATGGTTTACATATGATACCCCTTTCATATGAGTCATATATGTAAGTGACTTGAAACACACTTAACTTTTTCATATAATTTACATATGATGCCATTTTCATATGATTCTCATATGTAAATGGCTTGAAACACACTTAAATCATTCATATGCAAATCATATATAGTTATTCTCATATGATTCACATATGTGGATCATATGTGAATCACATTATTTGCTTCATATGAGATTTCACATATAATGTACCTTTCTATGATTCACATATGAGATCAATCATATGAGAATCATATTATACTCATATATGAGAATCATATGCGGCTAAGTTGCTTGTGTAGGCTTAAATAAAAAATACCTTTGTTTCCCCTAACGCGACCGACCCAATTAAATCGCGCCGACTGAAAAGATTTTTTGAATAAATTGATTCAAATATTTTTTTTTATTTAACCTAGTTTTATAAAATACAATTTCATTAAAATCACTTTTTATCAGAACGGCCGACGTCGTTCTTCTGTGATTTTTAAGCATTTGTTGGAAAGAAAATGACTTCCAGATGTTGTTACAGGCCTAGGGCAGTAGCTCTTCATAAAACAATGGCGACGTCTCAATACTATGTTTTTAGCTTTTTGGAATTCTTTGCTTTTGAAACAATTCAATGATAAAATTTACTGTGACTAACTAAGAATGTTTTGGAGGTGTGTTGGCGTCTCCATGTGAGTGAATACATTTTTAAATGGGACGTTAAACAACAAACAAACAAACCTGTCTTTGAATTCAAGGTACGTAATATATGGCAAGGCCCGCCTCATGAGTAGATGAGGAACCACCTAGTGAACACGTCATTTAATTTCATTGCATTT